AGAATATGTTGCTCCAATGCTCTGCACTTGCTTCGTGAGCACTACAAGTGGGAGACTGTAGAGGTTACTATACCGGAGATAGAGGCGATGCGGCTGGCACATTATCTGACCATTGGCTCCGAATGCACTGCTTCACTGAGTTATTGTCTGGAAAAGATTTTTCCAAGTTAGGATGGGATGCAAGAGTAGTACTCAAGGTATACGGTGCTTTCGACAACAACGAGTACATAAAGGCTCAAAAAATCAGGAACTGCCTGATGGAGATTCATATGAATATATTTGCCAAGGCAGATGTCATTGTTGCTCCAACAACAGGTGTGACTGCATACACGATATTCGATGATGCTCTAAAGACCGGTGAGCTCGACTACATTAACGGAGCTTCCCTAGTTCGATATCAGATAGCAGGGAATTTCTTGGGACTACCAGCGGTGACCATTTCCGTTGATTATGAAAAAGATGGCCTTGTGCATCTCACAGTATAGAAAGCCTGAAGTTTTCTACAATCTACTGAATAAAAACTGAGTGGAGAACCACCGTGATCGTTCGGAGGCCGGAGGGTAACCGGCCATCGAGATTACTCCGTTTAGTATAGCTTCTTTTTCTTCTATTGATGAACAACTGACTTGATCACTTACCATTGAATATTACAGTACTCTGTATTTGCTTAATCATTTGGGAGCGCCATTGTTGAGTTGGATGTGTCAAAAATAATTAGCAGTTGAAAAAAAAAATGTCAAGGAATCTTGTACAAGAGGATGAAGAAGAAAGAAATGAAGGTGAATAAGAAGAACGAAAGGAAGCATCACTTTCGATTCAAGTGAACGAAAGGAAGCATCGGTACTTTCGATTCAAGAAGAACGGAAAGAAGCATGGGCACTTTCGATTCAAGTGAACGGAAGGAAGCATCAGCACTTTCGATTCAATTGTTCATCTTTTCATCAAGAAGGTTGAGAAAGTAGGGGGAGGGTTAGGTTGTCTTCGAAGAGAAAGCAAGAAGAGTAGGGGCATGTTAGAGTGCTTTTAGAGATGTAATACACGTGTAAGCAGACAATTATTGCTAGGTGGATAGTCTGTTAATAGAAGAGGTTAGTCTGTTAATAGAAGTTGGTGAGCTTAGGCTCGCATTATAAATAAGGTGTACTGGCTAATATGAATGAATATCCTTTTATGTGTAAATACACCATTGTTAGTAGTTTCTCAATACCCTCCGGTGAAGAGAAAGCGACCAAAGGTGGCAAGGAAGAGCCAAGCCTGGAAGCCAGGGTGGACGAAGTAGACGGCTTGGAGATTATCCTTGACGTTGAAGGGGTCGCTTCGTAGATTGACTTGAGGGCTGAAATTCCGGGGAAATTCTCGCTCCGTTGAACGCCGGCCGGTGTGCACGTACAACACTGAGAACGACTTCTTTCCTTGCCTTGGAAATATATGCTCCTCCAAGTACTTTAGAACGTCAACGCTCAAAAACCGAGCTGATCAAAACACAACCAATAGCATCAGAACCCCATATATTTAATCGAAAAGGAGGGGGGGTAAAAGGGGCGGGAAAGAATTTGCCGATCATGCGGAGAATCTTGTGGCCTCGTCTGTCTTTGCCGCGGATATTGAAAATGTCGAGTTTGTGGAGGAGTTGTTGATCAGACTCGGAAATTATGTGGGATGCCATGATTTTTGGGATTTGGATTATGATTTTGAAGAAACGTTGAAGAAAATTTACTTTTTTGAGGAAAAACTGAAATTCAGTTACGACTTGGAAGCAGGTTTATATATATATAGGGTGAGAAAAAGAAGTGGAATTTGAAGGGAGGAGGAGGGAATTAAAATTAATATCTTTCCAACGCTGTGCTCGAATATTTGCCGATGAATATTGGATGTTATGATCATGATTTACATAAATAAAGCAAATAAATACGTTTTTGAAATGGAGATAGAAGCTGAATTATATGTTAGCAATAATTAAGTGATATATTCATGATTAATCATTCATTTTTTTTAATGCCGTGCTCATTCGTTCGTGGTGTGCTGTTTATTAAAGTCGAAGACCGTTTGGTATCAGATTATAATCCATTCATTAATATGAAGGAAGATGCACATTGCGACAATTCTCATTTTACGAGTGAACATGATGGAAACTATGTTTCAGACATTGATGCTTCTGGTTATTGCATTTATAGAAAAGAAAACACAAGGAAAGACTAGATGCTTCTGGTTATGATTATGATGGAAACTATGTTTCAGACATTGATGCTTCTGGTTATTGCATTTATAGAAAAGAAAACACAAGGAAAGACTATATGCTTCTGGTTATGATTATGATGGAAACTATGTTTCAGACATTGATGCTTCTGGTTATGCATAATAATATATGATAATACAATGTTTTATATGGTATGTTTCACGTTAGAAGTAGATTTGGCTAGAAGGGAGAAGAAAAATGTTTAATTACCACGAATGATAATTTTAATAATTGAGTTAGGATAAATATTTAAAGTTTCAATTAAAGTCCTCTTCTCTTCTTGTTTTTTTTCTTTTAAATAGTTTGGGGTGATTACAATGTAGTGTTTAAAAATTTCTTAACCTATTGAAAAACGCACGACCCTCATAATTCATTGCTAGAACCCAAGATCCCCTAGAGAAATCAACATTTCCTTTATCACTGAAACCACTTGATGGGTTCTTGTTATCTATATATTTACAACATTATATTTTTCTTTATTTTGAGGGTAAAATATTGATGAGAGTATAAAAGAGTCAAGGAATTGATGAAAAGAAAGAATTTACAAATAATTGCAATCAAAATACTAAATTGAGTAAAATGCAATATTAAGGGTCTAAATAAAAAAGAAAGAATTTACAAATAATTGCAATCAAAATACTAAATTGAGTAAAATGCAATATTAAGGGTCTAAATAAAAAGAGAGAGTATATTTCTAGTAAAAATAGTAAGAATTGAAGTTACATAGCTATTGTATAGTGGTCTATGAGCATGTGGCTCAAATTAGGTAAAAACGGACTTGAAATAAAGGATGAATTGAAGAAATAAGGAAATTATGGAAAATTAAGGGACTAAATTGAAAAATAGAAAACTTGTTATCGAAAAAGTAATTGAAAGCACATATGTATCCTATGATGGTTTAGGAGCATGTGGTTCAAATTTGGTTACAAATATACTTAAAATGAATGAAGAAGTGAAGGAAATCAGGGATTGAATCATAAAATTATCAAAATACATAGTTAAATTTTTAGTTTTTCAAGTAACTTGAAATTTCCAAATGTCACCTCGACTCAAACTCGAAAATCGATCTGATAATTCGAGTTGACTTGAATAACTCAAAATTATAAAAATCTAGTTGCGAAAGAGACTGAGAGGTGAATGCGCTGTTTGAGATTTCATTATATTTGATAATCTATTGGAAAATCTTTAACCACAAGGATTAAACGAATAAATTATTATATGTCATTTATGCAAAATAATTTCAGCTTTGTTGGTGACTTTCAACAATGATACTTAGTATATATTAGTAGTATTTGTCAACTCTGCATTTATAACCCTATTTTTTCTCACAAGCATTTCATCGAACATCTATGCTTCACCTGAGATGACCTTTATCTAACATTACACCTTCAATCGTTGATGGTCCTGATAGTCCATTGGTCGGGTCTTCTCACCCTTATTAAAGTCAACACTTCCACATAATTCAAAGTTAGATTAGAATTTCCCATGTATCCCCGACTGAAAAGGAATTTGGGGTTTAGAATGAAATTGAGGATTGTGTTGTAAGTTTTAAAAGTTGGGAGACCTAAATGCAAGCGCCTGAAAATTTCAGTGACCATATTGCAAATGTACTAACAACAGTGTAACGTCGGGGACCATATTGCAAACGAACTAAATGTTGGAGGATTGTATTGTATGTTTTAAAAGTCGATGGACCTAAATGAAATCTTTAGCAAAGTTTAGTGACCATTACTATACTTTACCCTTAAATTAAATTTGAGCCGGGAATGGCTGGATTAAAGGTCAAAGGGGTCTCCTTATTTGGAGTGGCTTTTGAGCAAATGAGATAGAAGGATGGGTGTATGGGCTTTTTTTTTTCCTCAATCGATCGTGGCAGAGCCACATATTGTTTAGGGTGCAGATGGGTGTATGCGTACATGTTTATCTTGAAATTTGAATTTTCTTCGATTAAGTATTTATTTTATTAATAATGTCTACTTTAAAAAAAAAATCATATCTTAAAATTTTAGTTTTATTCGATTAGTTATTTATTTTATGGGGATAATATCTACTCTGAAATTTTATGTGTATCCGTCTCATTTAAAAATTTTATATTGTTAACATATGTGTGTCCATCTTGAAAAATATTTCTAGATCCGTTACTATCCTCATAGGGCAGTACGAAAAATAATTACAAAATAGGGCACAAACATTTTTATTTTTGGATATAAATAATTTTCTACGGTGTATAAAACTCATTATGTCGAGACGACGAGCTCCAATAATTTTTTTTATTCATACTTTTTAATTTAATATGATAAATTTTAATAAATAAAATTATATTTTATTATAACTTATCACTTTTACATGATAAATTCTATAAATACTGTAAACAATTCTATTGATCCTAAAATAAAAACTCGGAGGCTAAATAAAAAGCTGGAATGCCCTGATGAAAGAAAAAAACCCGGGGTTGGGGCATATCGGTTTAAACTTTGAACGATATTTTGTTCACATTACCACGTGTAGGAAATCTCAGCCAGACATCGAGAAATGTGCAGCGCAGCAGATAACATGAAACACCCCACCTTCTGACGGTTTCAAAACTTATCCATGCAATATCGCCACCCTCTTTCGATTCCTTTGTATTTATCCAAACCCCATTTCAACTGATTACTCAACCGTCAAAACCTTTCGTGGCGTTGATTCTCCTCTCTTTTTTCACCTCAAAATCTTCACCAACCAATCCACCCCTTTAAAAATGTGGAACCAGCAGCATCATATCCACTATTCAATCCATTTACACAAATTTTCCTACTAAACCAACCATGGAAGCGACATCGTTTCTTCCTTCTTCCTTCACCCTCTCTTCCCTTTCTTCACCTCTTTTGCCTCAACATCTCCACCACAAGGGCCTCTTCTCAGTTCCCGTAAATCCGCAGACATGTCGGACAGCTGTTGTCCACAAGAAGTTCAGCTTCTGGTACGGTTGCCCTAAGAAACTGAACTAGTCTCTTTTTCTTTTTCTTTTTTTCCTTCGCGTTTTGGCGACTACTTGAGTATTGTTGTATGTTTCTGTATGTGAAGCACAAAAGCAACTCTTGGAGGAAATGTGCAGGTGACTGGAGTTCCGACTTCTGTTCCGGTGAGAGTAGCACACGAGCTTTATCAAGCTGGGCATCGATATTTAGATGTTAGGTATTTTTTTTTCTTCTGTTTAAATTGAATCTTAAAAAGCTCCGATTATTGTAAAGCAAGGGCTTCAATTTTTTTTTGTAGGACTTCTGAAGAGTTCAGTGCAGGGCATGTTCCTGGGGCCATCAACATTCCTTACATGTACAAACTTGGATCAGGTTGGCTCCAAATTCATCTTCTTTTTGAGATAATTTGTGTCTCAAGTTATCTTCTTTTTTAAACAAATGAAGACAACGACCGATGTCTGGTCTAGTATATTACTTTACGTTTACTCCGAGGTTGGCAAGCATGGTTTGATGATTTTTTTCTTCGCCTTGCAAAACGGTCTCTAATGGCTGCCACTGATCTTCTAGCTGCTGTAAGCACATAGATATTTCTGAATTGGTTGTAAATCAGCCATAATTTCTGTATATTGAATTAGAAAACAAGCATATTGGTTTTGATTGGATTTTGAGTCTTTGCACATAGGCTAATCTTTTAAGTTTTACCCATGAACTTTGTTCATATAAACTTAGTTCTAATACTTTCCTAGGTTAATCTACATGTTGAAGCTAATTACAACTTCTATCATTGATTCTTTGTTTTTTCAGGGCTTTACTGTTGTCACCGACATTGCCGGAGGGTATGCGGCGTGGACTCAGAACGGTCTTCCGACAGAATGATGATGTTATAGCCACATATAAATTGCTGATACAATAATAAACTTATGAAGATCAAGTGATGCAAAGATCTAACTTATTAATGTTGTAGCCACAAAATGCTCATGTTGCTCTGTATGGAAAAGGAAACAGAAACAAACAGATAATGAATGAATGGAACTAGTAAAGTTTGTACATATTTGCCATTAACCACATCAGCGGCCCAATGCATAAGGTGATAATATAAACTTCTTGTGAAACCAATATTAAACCTATGGCAACAAGATATAGATAGCTAGCTTACACGCGTTACAATACCATCAGCTCATCGACAAGAACATGGATGGACACAATTATCAATAGAAAATATTTAAATTATACGAGAATTTGATTTTCAGGGGTCAAGATCAAACCTTTGTGCTAGCTCGAACTCTGGCTTTAAAAACGTGAAGCCTCAGCGATATGAAAGAGTACATAAGATATTGGCACGGCTCAATCAGACCAAAACCACTGATGCTTTCGACTCTTGAAAGATCAACAAATGCCTTATGTCTCATGTCTGAGTGAAGCAGGCCAATATCACAGTTACTATTCCATGTGACTTCAGGGCAGATCCGTAAACAAACAAAAAGGATCGAAACAGAGAAGAGAAAACTGAAGAATATTGGAAAGAAAAATATGGGTTTTTAAAGAAGAGAGAGTACAGAAGTTAGATTGAGGGGGGGGGGGGACTAAAGAGGGTCATCATGAACATTTAAAACATGCATGATTCTCTCTTACTTTCTCTCTGAAAACATCTAATATAGGTAGAGAAAAAACTTGTCCTTGAAGGCGATCACATGGGCGGTGGGTGAAGCAAGAATGCAGAGAATGTTGAGAGTTATAGCCCATGCCATGATCGTGATACTTTCTTTGTGCATCATTAATGAAGGAATCTCTATCTCGGACGGACAGATAGCAACTTTTTAATAGGCAAGACAAGGCAAGGCAACCAGACGCTCTATTTTTAGTAACTGGAACCGTTGTTTCAATCCAGTTTGGTTGTAGTTGCCTTGCTTGGAGTAATGGAGTTGAAGGGTAATTACTAATTACACTACACGTGCCAGCCTATACTTCAGATTTTAAATTAGTCCCTAATGTTCAAAATGTTTTAATTGATTCATTAAGGTATCGATATTGTATCATTCAAGTCTTTCAATCAATCTAGGAAACTCAGCTTGAATGTTAAATGCCAACTTAAATCCAAGCTGGAGCATGTTTCTTCTTTTTAATACGTCAAATCTAAGTTGTTCATGTGATAGGAACAAACTTGTTTAAAATCTAACCCACGTGTTTTATATAAGTTTTAGGAGAGATTGAAGTAACAATTAATAACACCCAAGCTAGAAGTTAGGTCGTTGGAAGGACACGATTTGTACAACACTGATATTTTGAAAATTCAATTAGAATATTTTGGAGTTTAAGGACTAATCTATAATATGGGTTATAATTTGAGAACTCCTTGTAGAATTATCGCTTTATGTATTCAGTTTACTTTACATGCCAACTAAAGCTGAAATTCCTTAGTGTCGATATTAGCATATTACAATATACATACACGTGTACATATACGTATACAAATATATGTACGTAGAGACGGACGTAAAATTTTAAGTTGGGGGAAAACTTGAACTTATAAAGTTTCAGGGGTAAACTTGAACTTATAAAACTTTAAGGGATGAAATAAATTTTAAATAAAAAATACATAGAAATTTTTTAAAATATATGGTTATTTTATATTTTTAAAGAGGTGACCCCTACCCGCTCTCCCTAATTCCATCACTGTATGTATGTATATATATATATAGATTAATTGCTCAAATAGAGTGAAATCTACAGTGTTGGCCGTAGGTCGCCATGCATTCCGGGCTACCTACCTTGCTCAAACAGAGAGAATGAACGTGTTGCAAGGCACATGCACGTCCCAACACATAGGTCGCCATGCCCTCCGGGCGACCTTGTAGGTCGCCATGCACTCCGGGCGACCTACTCTCGCTCGGTAGCCCTCGGATTCCCTCGCATAGCTCGTTCGGTTGCCCTCGGATGCCCTCGCATAGCTCGTTTCAGATGGCCTCGGTCGGATGGCCTCGGATGCTCTCGGATGGCCTCGGATGCTGTCGGATGGCTTCGGTCGGATGGCCTCGGTCGGATGGCCTCGGATGCCCAGCGTGTTGGGACGTGCATGGCACATGCAATCTCTTGTAGCTCGCCGGGAAGACATGGCGACCTAGTAGGTCGCCCGGAAGACATGGCGACCTACGGCCAACACTGTGAATTTCACCTTATTTGAGCAATTAATCTTGTGAGTGCTTTATCTCGTCAATTATTTTTTTCCAGAACATTATCTCGAAAGTTTTGTCTATATACATATATATATATATATATATATATATATATATATATATATATATATATATATATATATATATATATATATGCACAAGAGAAAGAAATTGTTTTGTCCGCTGTGGCGGATGCTTTGAAATCGCTAGTTGCACTTATTTCAAAGATCAAACGATGTCTTCTTCTGGTTTACGTGAACGACCCTTCATCACTATCAGCATGCGAGTATATTTATCTTCGTTAAGCGGCGAAAATAAACGTGTTTTCACCTCTAAACCCAAATTAATTATTTGCCTAATGAATATTCATCGCCAGCTAATAAAGACAATGAAGAATGTTAGTGTATAACATAATGTATATTAATGGCGGGGGATTATCCCAATGTTCCACAATATAAAAAAAAAACCTCCAAATATTGCTGCTCTTTATACTCAAAGCACCTCCAAGCAAGTCCAAATTTTCCAAACATAACAAAATCCCATCTTTCTTCATGAACTATCGGGTCTATCCGTCTTCGTCGTCTCCTCTCCCGGTAGGGCTAAATCCCAATGAAGGATCACCAGGATGGCTCAGCAAAGGAGACAATGCATGGCAACTAACGGCGACGTATTTCGTCAGCCTGCAAAGCGTTCCGGGGCTCGTGATACTGTACGGGAGCATGGTGAAGAAGAAATGGGCTGTTAACTCGGCTTTCATGGCTCTTTACGCCTTTGCCGCCGCTCTGCTTTGTTGGGTTTCGTGGGCACACCAGATGTCTTTCGGGGGAACTACGATGGCTATCTGGTGGGGAAGCCTGTTAATTCATTGTCTAATGCGTTCCTTCTTGGTCAAATGGATGATGGCCATAAGCTTCCAAAGGCTGATTATGTGTTCTACGAATTCGCTTTTGCTGCGATCACTGTGATTTTGCTAGCCGGATCGTTGCTGGGGAGGATGAACTTCTATGCGTGGATGTTGTTCGTTCCTTTGTGGTTGACGTTTTCGTATACCGTGGGGGCATTCACTATATGGGGCAATGGGCTTTTTCAATACAAAATTATTGATTATGCTGGTGGTTATGTCATCCATCTTTCATCTGGGGTGGCTGGTTTTACTGCTGCGTATTGGGTAAGTCTCTCTTGAATTGTTTTGGTCAAATTCTCTAGAAGGTCCCTGTAATAGTATGTTTTTATGGATTTAGTCTGTTATATTTTTTTAACCTCTCTCTTGTAATGTGGTTGATTGAGCCTGATGACTGCAGGTTGGACCTAGGCATTCGCATGACAGACAACACTTTCCACCCAACAATATAATTCAGATTTTAGGAGGAGCAGGATTTCTATGGCTCGGATGGACTGGCTTCAACGGAGGATCTCCACTTTCAGCAGGCCTCATCACTTCTTTAGCCGTAATAAACACCCATATCTGCACTGCTACCAGCCTATTGGTCTGGCTTGCTTTAGACATGGCTGTGTACAGGAAAAGCTCGGTTATCGGTGCCGTTCAGGGGATGATCACAGGCCTTGTGTGCATCACTCCGGGTGCAGGTCTTGTGGATCCATGGGCAGCAGCCCTAATGGGAGTGATGTCCGGGTCGATTCCATGGTACACGATGATGGTCTTGCACCGGAAAATAGCATTCTTCCAAAGCGTAGACGACACTTTAGGGGTGTTCCACACACATGCGGTGGCCGGTTTTTTAGGCGGTCTCCTTTCCGGTCTCTTTGCAAAATCCGGTCTTCTAAGGCTGATGTATTGTAGCAACATATACGGCCCAGACTTATCACACTGTAAGGGACAGTTCCACCGTGGTCTCAGACAACAAATGGGTTATCAACTTCTAGGAGCCGTTTTCATCACGGCCTGGAATGCTGTTGTTACCAGCATCATTTGCCTTGTCATAAGCCGCATTGTTAATTTAAGAATGGACGAAGAGGCTCTCGAGGTAGGAGATGATGCTGTACATGGAGAGGAAGCTTATGCACTGTGGGGAGATGGCGAAAGGATGCCGAAAACTCGTTGTTTCCGTATACCGCTTATCTGCAGCCGTCTGGTTTCGACTCCTGTTTGATAAATGTCAGATTAATTCTTGCGTGCTTCAGAATATGAGAAATCATCATCATGATTTTTGTGTTTTGTACAATATATCCCATAATCATTGTGCTTGTATCAAACTACTGGTAATTTATTTCTAATTTCGAAGCTTTGGAACAACTATTATTACTTCTCAATCAAGAAAAACAGTTATGGCGGTAAGATTTTACAAGGTCCGATCGTCCAATATCATGTCACTGTTCATCTCTGCCAATCGTGTACGTTTTATGATCACAACGTTGGGGGGAAAGAAGATTCTCAATTATGTTGTAAGAACATCGGGAAGCTGAATTGAGTGAACTCCGAGTACATTACCACCAACATCTGGGAAATTTTCATATCCCGGGAGCGGGTTTACTTTTCCATCGACATCTACTTGCACAGGATACATCAGAAGGTGACCCTGCAATGGTGAATACTCGACATTTGTGAATTTTGTCCAGTTCTCTTCTGCAATCCCGTTCACCGTCTTCACGCAATCTAGACTTTCTGGCTCCTTGAACAGCTTATTTATCTCACCAAGATGCTCTGCCCATAACGACATTCTATATCCATGTACCTGCCAAATTCCAGAGAGGCATCACGAAGAAAGTACACTAGAAGATTCGGATTCTCATCGA